TTACCTTTTTAATAATAGTACTATGATACAGCTCCAGGTTGCACATGATTTTTACGGGAGCCAATGAGGAGAGATCAAATGAATAGTTTTGGATCATCATTGTATGTTCGCTAACCACAGAACAGATATGATGTATGTGCTTACTGTGACAGATTTAGGAAAGGGCTTAAAAGGCAGGCTTTGCACACACAAAAAATGTACTTTGTTAAATTGCTGTATTAGCATTATATTTCATCTTAAATAGCTGTGACTTCCTTGAGTCTCTGGGTAAAAATAAAAGGAGTAAGAAATAATAGTGATATTATGGTGGGGGTCTGCTATAGACCACCAAGCCAGGCAGAGGATTTGGATGAGACACTCCTAGAACAGATTACAAAGTTCTCAAAGAGATGGGACATGGGGGTCATGGGAGATTTCAATTACCTGGATATGTGTAAAAATGAAAGATCCAATAAAATCCTAATAAATTCCTAACTTGTCTTGCTGACAACTATTTTCCAGAAAGTGGAGAGGAAAACAAGGGGATCTGCTATCTTGGACTTGATTCTTACCAACAGGGAAGTCCTATGAGGAAAGGTTGAATGAGCTGGGTATGTTTAACATGGACAGAAGACAACTGAGAGGTGATATAATCATCTCCTAGTACTTGAAGAGCTGTTATATAGAAAACTGTGCAGAGTTGTTTTCTGTTGCCCCAGAAGGTCAGACCAGAACCAATGGGTTGAAATTAAATCAAAAGAACTTTCAACTAAACATTAGGAAGAACTGCCTAACAGTTAGAACGGTTCCTCAGTGGAACAGGAGGTGGTGGGCTCTCCTTCTTTGGAGGTTTTCAAACAGAGGCTAGATGGCCATCTGACAGCAATGCAGATTCTGTGAACTTAGGCAGATCATGAGAGGGAAGGCAGGAAGGGTTGCCTCAGTGCTTAGTTCTCATGGTCCTTTTTTACATGCCCAGGGAAACGCTGATCACCACTTCGCAGCCAGGAAGCAATTATTCTCTAGACCAGTTTAGCCAGGGATCCTGGAGGTTTTGGGGTTGTTGTTGTTTTTTTTTGCTATCTTCTGGGCATGGAGCAAGGGTATCACTGGGGGTGTGGGGGGTAGGTGTTTGTAAATTTCCTGTATTGTGCAGGGGGTTGGCCTAGATGACCCTCAAGGTCCCTTCCAACTCTTTGATTCTAGGAAGTGAATGACATCAGTGTGAAATTAGTAACCACCTTTTAGTTTTTAAAAAACTTACCTGCTTAAAGCTGGAAACTTTAGTTGGACTTTGCTTTGGTAAACATAATTCTATTGTCAGTCTATCCAAAGGCCATTTTTAATGAGAGATACTGTGTGCTGAAGAGAAACTATTTAGCCAATCTTGCAAAGCTATTATGAAGAAGCAACTAAAGCAGCTAAAACTTTTCATAACTTCCTGTAAAGCTATGCTTTCAGTTAGTAAAACTATATTGTGGTCCTCTAGAGTGTGAAGCTACATTTGATTATATCTTATCAGTGTTTAGCAGATTGTTTTCCTAACTAAATAGCTGAAATTTTTTCGCTACCCTAGAAAAGTCTAGTGTTACACATATAAACTTTGGGGTCTTTTATGTGCTGTTTTAGCTATATGGAATAGGGGTGTACAGCCAAAACAAAGATTCAGTGGTTTTTTGATCCAGATATATTGGTGCCAAAAAATAATGGTATTCCCAGTTGCCTGGGTTCTACTACGGTATTCATATCCAGGGTTTTTTTTTTTGGGGGGGGTCTGTTATTTTTCAGCTCCATTGTTCCTTATGGGGAATATTTATGGGGGGCTGGGGGGTATTTTTAAAGGTATTGGCACCCAAAATTGCAAGGGAGCTGCTCATGCTTGCCCTTTAAATAACCCCCATATTCCAGGTCAATTAGACCAACAGGTCCAGTTCTAAGGGCCACTAACCATCCTCCATTGATTCCTATGGTGGGGGGGGGGAGGCACAAAAATGTAAAACCCAAGAATCTTCCCATAGGAACACTCTTGGAAACTATTGATAAGCCTAACCAATGTAAAACATGAGAATCTGAACCAATGTAATACATGAGAATCTTAACCTATGTAAAATGCAACCATCTCAAACTACATAAAACACGAGGATCCACAAAAAAACCCCACACTCTGACATAAACCAACTCCAGCAAAGAATGAACTTTAAAAACCCAACAAAAATACTTGAAACTCAGAGAATTGTACCTAAAGCAGCTTGGCAAGTGGATACTGAGCCCTTGGAGACATAGAAACAGGAAAAGAAAATGGGAAAAAATGGGAGGCACAGTCCTGGGAGCATGCAAACACTGTCTCCTGATATTCCCAGTTAATTGTCAGGACTCTGAAAAATACCAATAAGGTATTTTTTGGATATATTTTCAGCACAGGAGTATCCAAATGTACATTCCTAGTATGGAAGAGTCCATCTTCATTCTTTCCATCATCCCTATGACAATTCTAACCTCTGGCTAAAGCGTTGGCTTTTTCAATCTTATACTGCAGTTTCTATGGCACCTGAATGCTAAGACACTTCAGTCAGAGGCCTAAATATGCTAAAGAGGAGGTGCTGGGGGTGCTAATGAGGAGACCACAGACAGCATCTGAGCAATGCAACAGGAAACTGCATAAAATTCATTGGCTGAGCACATGTTGACATGCACGAAATCCTTTCTCTGATCTGCATTATCCCATTTAAGAAATACAAGAATGTCTTTATCTGCATATGTGAAAGTTATTCCAGTATAAGAAAATTCCCATGTATAGAACTGCTCTAACTGAAACAGAGTGTTTCCATACACTATGCTCCCTACAATGGGCAGAATGTTCATCTGTATTATAAAAGGTTTCTCCTTCACTTTCCTTTCCATGCTGAAGAGCACCCAGATGTTAAAGTAGCAGCACATTGGCCTGAAGGTGTTCTAAGCCCTAGATACAAACACACTTTTCATCTTCTGAGAGATCCATCTTCAGTTTTTGTGCTTTATAAACTAATTTCTAATTCAGAATTCCGAGAACTAAATGAATGTATAGTATATTTCCATACAGCCCACCTCCAAAGAATATGGACTTTATCCTGGGAACAAGTCAGCATACCCACTGTTCTGTCACTTATTTGGAAAAACAAATGGTAACATGTGTACAATGTAACAATGTTATAACAATACAGACAAAGACAAAACTACATTTTTGTCATGCTAATGTGATGCTTCCCTCTTGGACTTCTTGCTATGTGGCTGTACCATGAAGTGCCTTTACAAAGCGTAACTGGAGTCAGTCTGAGGGATTGGCTGAAGCCAGTATGGTATAACTATAAGACATTTATAAAGTGAAGACACAACTAGGCAACTGTACCCTGCAGATGGGTTTTGGGTGCCATGGCTCAGACTAGTGTCATCACTGCAGCAGCTAAAGCAGGTTCCTTTATTATTTCTATATCATCATCCCAGTTTACAGTTTTTCTTTTCTCAAGGTAACTCTACATTATACATTCGTATGTTGAGTATGGTAAGGGTATAAGGTAAAGGTAAAGGTTTCCCTGGCTTGAAAGCCAGTCAAATTCAATTCTAGGGGGTGGTACTCATCTCCGTTTCCAAGCTGAAGAGCCAGCGCTGTCCAAAGACGTTTCCATGGTCATGTGGCTGGCATGACTAAATGCTGAGGCTCAGGGAACACCATTATCTTCCCACCGAAGCGGTACCTATTTATCTATTTGCAATGTCTTGCTTTTGAACTGCTAGGTTGGCAAGAGCTGGGGCCAGAGAGAAGAGCTCACTCCATCACACGGCACTAGGCTCTTGAACTGCCGAACTACAGATCTTCCTGTCTGCAGCTCAGTGTCTTAACCTCTGAGCCAGGTTCAAATTCTCAGTCAGCTGCTTATTCAACACGGATGACCCTGGGCAAATCGACCTAACTTACTTTGTAGATTGACATTTTGAATGTTTTGGAAGAAGGTGGGATAAAAATTCAGGGACCAGTCAGAGATGATGACCTATTCAGAGTCTACCTAACTGGAATATGAGCCAAGGTCTCCAGGGCTGAAACACGACAGCCAATCCACGCAGCATCTTGAACTCAGTTTTTAAGATCTGGCTTCACTTTATAATAACAGCTCTAACAAATGATATTTTCCTTTCATTTTCAATAATATTAGTAATGTTTGATGCAATGGAAACATCAGAAGCTGAACTGTTTATATAAAATAACACACACTGTTTTGTAATGCATTTACTCACACTTCTAGCAACTAAACTCCTGCCTATATACTATTTATAAATGACACTCCCTGCATACCCATTCACCAGAACTTAGCACCTTACAAAGCAAAAACATAATTGAACAAGACAATCAAATCAAAACAAAAAGCAAACTGAAAGACCAAGTCTTTAAGCTGCTTTCTGGAGAGAGTCAACATTTTGTGGCACTTAGAAGGAAAATTTGGCAGGTTGGTGCCAAAGGCTTGAATTAAGTGGCTATGTTCTTTCTGTATGTTTCTGTTTGGATTCAGGTGCTTCTGGCTCCAATCTAGAAGATAATATTGGACACAGTGGTGACAAACTTGACACAGGATAGAAACTTCCCATTTCCTGCAATCAGTTCAGCTCCTTTCCTGGAATAGGCCACTTTGTTGTTGTTTAGTCTTTTGTTTCTGTACTTGGGGAGACTTCTTGGGACAAAGTTCATGAGTCCCTGAATCTAAAGTGAAGCATATTGTCCAGAAAGGATGCCATCTGCATCAGTTGGCAGGCATTCCAATTACCATCATAGCTGCTGAACAACTAAACCAGCATTACAACAACTTGACAGGACTTAGACATACCCTCTTGTTAAGGTATTCAGAAGATGTAAAACCAACAAATAGCATTAATCTACAATATGCACAGAATCAAAACAACTGCCATGTGGGGTATATGCCTAGAAGAACATCTGGCTAGACACTTCCACTTCATCAACATAATGAGAAATAGATCTTGAATGAAGTGATCTGCAGCTTTAATATGTGGGACCTTCTCAATATCAGACACCTATTCTAGGCATTGGAAGAAACACTGTGATGTGCATTTCCATTCTGGGATTCACTGGCTTTGTAACTGGCCTGTGCATCATTATCAGTATCGTCTGGGGATTTCAAGTCTGCCTTTTCTACCGTGCTGCTGGATGTCACAGGCTTGCAGACAAAACAAAAGAATTTGAAACACACGAGCAATCCTTCTGAAATATTAGATGAGAAAAGTTTCTTGCATGGGTGGCAAAACTGGTAGAACACAAGCATGAAAAGGACAGCTATGCAATAGCCAATCAACAGCTGCAAGACCAGCAATGGGGCACACACATACATGTAAACATCAGTCTTATACATATACCACATCAGCAAGAGAAAAGCATTCTCAAAGAACCTTATGATGTAATATGAAGCCAGCCTGTACCAGTTCTGGGATTTGTCAATTAGGTCAGAATCATTTAGCTTCAGCTGCACAGCAGACCAGCAGAACATGTTGATGCCAGCATACAAGAAAGTGAGAAGGCTTAGGACAATGGTGGTGCCCACTTTACTCAAAGCCTTCTCTATGTTTTCTGGCAAAGCAGACTTACTTTGCCAGAAGAGAATCCATGGGTAGAAGAAAAAGGCAAAGAAATTGACAAGCACCACGGGAAGGATCCAGATTTGAAGGACTGAACTGAAGAGGACAAGCACAATAACTCTGGTAGCAATCTCAAAGCTTCGCCAGAGGAAGATGCAGAGGTAGGCAGCAGGTTTCACACTGATGTTATAATCATCATACTTAATCTTAATGGCCAGGATGTTGCAGCGCAATGCTCCGTACACTATCGATAGGAGAGAAAGCACCATGAAGATACCTGGGAAGAGAAAGGAAGCAATCAGAGCTTTCTGAAGGGAATCTTACCAGCTTGCATCTAGAGCCACATCACAGAAATAAAGGATTCCTTGGGTACCACCCAACAGATGGAAAGCTCAGCCCAGTAAACACCCTAAAGGAATCATCCCAGCCCAGCCACCTAATGTCTTTTGCCTGGGAATGAAGGTAAATGAACTCGGAGGATCAAATGCAAAGTATGCGCACAACCCCTGAAAGGAGGACAGCTATGGCAGTAGACTCTGTTGTGTTCAACCTCTTTAGGACTCAAGAGAAACTTACTGCTGTCATCAGCTTCAGAAAAACTCTTCCTGAGCTTGTGTGGAGGTTCTAGCAGAGGAGCGCAGCTATCGTATACCCTTGACCGAAGAATGGTACACTCCTTCTATCTGGGATGGTCGTCCTCTTCGACAGAGCGTGCATCTTCGGGAGGGACGCGCCTCATTGCAACAGTGAGCTCAATTACTTTGGACACTGAGCCACTAACTATTTAAACGTAAGTAAGTAGCATAATATTATTCCTATTTCACTACTGAGGAGTCAAATTAAAAACCTAACGACAGTGACTTTAGAAGACTGTAGCTGAGGCAGGCTTTGTTCTGTAACTCTTTAAGATGCTTCCCACTCTCTGGATACCTGTCATAAGTCGTTTCTGTGTCTACCTGCACCAACATTTTGTCCTGGGGACTGTTAGGACATGCAGCAGGCTCCCTGGGACTCCAGGAGATCAGCTGCAAGATCCTTTCCTTTGACAGTTTGCAAAGCAACCATGGAAGTGGCACTTAAGAGTACAAAGAGTGGAAGGGGAAGAGCAACTTAACATTTCCCAAAAGGTAGGCATGGAAAGGGTTGGCAAGCCCTTTCCTGTTTCCGGTTGTAGCCTCCTAAACCCCTGTGTGCAAACCACCAAGGAAAAGAATTATTCAGCTATTGTGTGTGGTTTGATCCTTACCATGAAACTGCAACTCCCTGCGAAGTTTATAGCCCTCTAGGGCCACCAGGTATGGCAGACAGAGTGTTGGAATAGGGCTGGGGAGTCTGGGCTCAGTACCCCCGCTGCCATGAATGCACTTGGGCGACCTTGGGCTCGTCACTCTTTCTCAGTCTAACCCCCCTCACGGTGTGGTTGTGATGATCAAATGGAGGAAAGGAGAAGCACAGGCACAGCCCTGAGGTCTTTTGATGCAGGGTGGGAAAAGAGGAAGAGAGAGAGTGACAGAATGAGATTGAGCTGGCTGGGAGACGCCTGCTCTTGGGAAAAAAGCATACCACAGATGACCAAAGATACTTCTACCCACTACAGAGACTGTTCCACTGAAGTGACACAGTCAGTATAAATTAATACAGTACAGAATTTCATTGTACCGTGGCCAAAGAAAAAGGAGAACAGGAACCAAAAGAGAGTCAGATCCCTACAGGATGCTTGGAAGCTATATAAAGCCACACTAACTGAAGCCCAGCTAGAATGCATTCCCAGAGTGAGGAAAGGACCTGCTAAAAGAATGCCCCTGGATGTTTAATAACCAAAGTCAAGGAGGCTATAAAAAGCAAAAGGACGGCCTGCCCAATGAAACACTGGAAACACTGAAATCAATAATTACATATTTGGGCCTAATGTTAAGGTAAAGAAAGCTTGCCAAGAATTGTTGTCTTCTTTGTAAAAACAATCAAGGTTCTTGTTTAAAAGCTGGAGACTAGCCTGCTCACCCTTGAAAAAGTTACATTTAAAAGAACACAGCCGGCCTCACAGAAAGGCCACGGCTCACGGTGTGAGAGCCCGGGGGAGGGGCTATTTGGAGGAAGCTGGTCTCCAGGAGGGAGGGAGATTTCCCCAGACCTAGTTATAAATTACTCTGCAAAATGCAGCATCATTCTCAGAGACCAGATATGCTTTATGAAAGGCTTTTGTATGCTCTTTATATGATCTAACCTAGACCAAAATAGTACTTAAAATTAAAAATCTTTTTCCCCCCAAGATGGCTCCAGTCAGGCCAAGCTTCTCATACTTTGTATCCTGTCATATACAATGCTCAGTTAGCTAGATGAAGGGTATGTGCCATGACCACTGCACAGACTCCAAAAGGCTAACAAAGAAAAGATCATCTTACAAATGATGTTAAGGTGATGTAAACATGGTGTCATAATGATTGACAGGGGAGAAGGAGGAAGAGGAGGAAGAAGAAGAGTTGGATTTATACCCCATCCTTCACTTGGAGTCTCAGGGTGGCTTACACTCCCCTTTCTCTCCCCACAATAGACAGCCTGTGAGATAGGTGGGGCTGAGAGAGCACTGAGAGAACTGCTCTTGAGAGAAGAGCTCTGAGAGAACTGTGACTGACCCAAGGTCACCCAGCTGGCTGCATGTGGAGGAGTGGGGAATCAAATCTGGTGCTCCAGATTAGAGTCTGCCGCATGGCCCACTGAACTGGTGGTTTTCAACTATCTTGTTCCTATTGCACAATAAACAGAACCTCCTTTACTCGCATCCTGTGCCTTTGTGTGTGGTTAATCTGGCTCCAGCCACGCAGTCCAAGAGCCTCTTGGTAACAGATTGAAGCACAGGGACTGGCAAAAGAAAGGTAAGAATAATCAGGCATGAGAAAAGAGAATTTGAGGAACAGAACTCTAAAACCTTCAAGGCAAAAAAAAAAAAAAAAGAATTTCTTTAAGTATATCCATAGTAGGAAATCACACAGAGAAGCAGTTGGGCCTCAGATGACCAAGGAATAAAAGGATTGCTAAAGGAAGATGGCTCAAGTGGTTAAGATGCTGAACTGCAGGCTGTGGAAGGTCAGTAGTTCAGCAGTTCAAGACCCAGGTGCCGCAAGACGGGGTGAGCTCCTGTCTCTAGTTCCAGCTCCTGCCAACCTAGCAGTTCGAAAGCAGGAAATTGCAAGTAGATAAATAGGTACCACCTCAGTGGGAAGGTAACAGCGTTCCGTGCGCCTTGGTGTTTAGTCATGCCGGCCACATGACCACGGAAACGTCTTCGGACAGCGCTGGCTCTTTGGCTTTGAAACGGAGATGAGCACCGCAACCCTAGAGTCGGATTCGACTGGCTTTCGAGCAAGGGAACCTTTACCTTTTAAAGGAAGATGGGGAGACAACAGAAAAACTAAATAACTTCTTTGCATCTGTGGTCACTGTGAAAAGTGTGGGACAAGACACTTTGCATGGGGCTGCCCTTGAAGACAACCCAGAAACTACAACAGGTCCAGAATGAAGCACTGATAGACCTACTAGCCATGGTGACTAAAGGAAACTCCGTATTCAGAGGCAGTAAACCTCTGAATGCCAGTACCAAGAGACAACATCAGGGGGAGGCCTTGGCCTCTGTGGCCTGGTGTTGGTCCTCCAGAGTAACTGTGTGACACAGGATGCTGGACTAGATGGATCACTCGTCTGATCCAACAAGGAGTGGGGGGGGGTCTTCTGTTCTTTATCAGTCAATAATCCAACAAGGAGTGTGTGTGTGGGGGGGTCTTCTGTTCTTTATCAGTCAATCTAACATATCTCCTCCCTCCCCGCAGGACTTCCCCTTCTTTCCTTATTGGGAGGTTTTCTAGCAATGAAGGACCCCTCTGCCATACCTCATGCCAATCAGAATGTTTCTTTCTGAGCATACCTGGATTGTCCTCCCCTGCCCATGCCTGGGAAAATCATACCTTTTGTATCCCATTTGTTTTCACTTCCGGTCACTGGGGCCAGAATCCTTGTCCAAATCATACCTTGCCTACTTGGTTTTGCCTCATACTGTGGATTTAAGTTGTATTGCTATACTGTGTCCTGCCTTGCGTGGCTAATTCCACATGCTTTCCCCTGGATCTGTACTTGATTGTTTGGGACTTTGATTTTGATCCCATTTGAACTTTTGCCCAAGAACACTGTGGAGGACCCAGAGACACATCCCCATACAGGATAGGTACTCTCTGTTCTCCTCCCCCAATCTCTCTCAGCCCCCTTTGCAAAATATGTTGCAGGGTATGTGTATGTGGGGGTACCTGGAATGCTTGCATTTACTGTGGTCATTCTAGTATTCATTGATACTACATGTCTGATATTAATCTGACTGTTCAGGTTTATTCTACTCTTACTTAGGATCCCTCAACTCTATCACTTTGTTACAGATCCCTAAGGAGTATGATGGTCTGAGTCCAGATTTGGACATGTTCTTGTCTAACCAAGTGTTAAAGTTAGCAGCTTCTTCTAGGATTGGCGTGAAAGATGGTAGAGGAAAGGTTTGTTTCCTATGCTCATTTATTTTCATGTGAAATCAGGGTCAAGTTTCGGAAGCAGGCCCATTCACATGAAACATGTGTCTAGCATACATATGTACAGACTGCTCATAGGAACAACAGTAACCAAGAAACACTTTACAAATTACCCCAAAGCAGGGGTCATTTCGTAGAAAAAGAGCTAGGGGAACTCATTAGCATAACTCATTAGCATATGCCACACCTCCTGACATCAGGGGCCCGGCGGTGGACCTGCAAGGCCAGCGGGAGTGCGAGGAAGCCCCACCAAGGCCCTCCCTGGCCCCAGGCAGGCAGGGGTGGGGAGAGGCAGGGAGGAAGCAACTTACCCTCTCTCTTCTCCTGCCTCCTCCTGGCTGAATGAGGGCTGGAAGCGGGGCGGCCAGAAGAAGGGGGCGGGGCTTCGTCATGTGCCCCGCCCCCCTGCACCTCACCCGGGGGAACTGCGTTCCCCCGTGATCCCCCCCAAAATGACCTCTGCCCCAAAGTGCAAAATATGGATGACTTAATATGCTTCTGTTTTCCAGGCTTCCTGGTAAAAGGTGAAGGAAGAACTGATGCATCTCTTGCACAAGATACAAAATTCCAAATGCATAGGGAATTCATGTGCCTCAACACACTTCCTCTCTGGATAACACAAACAGGAAAACCAAAGCACATGAGTTTCATGCACATCCTCTTTTTACACTTCACCTTACATCCATAGCAACTTGCATTGTTGGGGAGATGATTTATCCCGCAGCTAGCTAGCTCACAACTCTTCCATTTATATTAATTTAGTGCTTAGCAACCATACACTTATCTGCAATATCAAGAAGTTTGCTTCACTGACCTACTGAAAAGCCAGCTTCATTGCCAATACTGCAGGCTATTTCCCTGCACTCATGAGATCTTTTATCATTCAAGCCGTACAGTCTTTGGCCATGACACTGAAAGAGCTGGAGGGAACTGCCAATAAGATTTCCTACATGTATTTCTTTAGCCCAGGGTGCCGTCAAACAGATCCTTTAGATTAATTTTTACATATATTTGTTCATGTATCTAAATTCTCAATAAAAATCTGATATTACTATTAATTATTTTACATGGATGACTGCTGTAAGACATGTTGGGTAAGATGCAACCAACTTTTCTGCTGTTGAAGAAGGAATGAGGGATTTCCCTGCTGACCACTCAAAGGCTATGCTGGAATCATGCAGTCTGCATGGACAAAAGACATGCAGCAAGGAGGAGATTGTACAGAAAAGCTAGCTGAAGCCAATCCATACTGACTACTCAAAGAAGGCTAGGCTGGAATCGTGCAGTCTGCATGAACAAAAGACATGCAGCAAGGAGGAGATCGTACAGAAAAGCTAGCTGAAGCCAATCCATTATAACTTTGCCTTTTTACACAAGCGTTTTTAGTCACTGAGTCTCTAAGAACATGGAAGAAATCAGAAACCTACTACTTCCTTTTCCTGTAGAAAATTTCCTTTCTCTACAAGAAGTGTGCTTTGAGATGAGAAAAAAACCCTCACAGGTAACTTTTTAAAGATTCATTTTAATCTCTCCCTTCAAAAATGTCCGTAACCGTGCCATGTGTGATGGAGGCACTCCAGATGGAAGTCTCCATGCACATTTGCCTTATTTCTTTCCCTTTTTTGAGAGGAAAGATTGCACTAATCAAGGAATCATGCACCCATGTAGAGCACTGCCTCGTGTGTGACATTCTGTGTGTGAGGGAGGGAGTGGCCCCGTCCTTCACAATACAAAGCAAGAGGCAGACTCTGCTGTCACTACAGCACATGGATGCCCTGAGCCCTGGAAGCCCACCACAAACAGGTGCAAACCACCGACACTGTTATGAATGCATGGGTGGGAGGACAAGGCACCACAGTGAGTGTACAGGCAAGTGGGAGGAGTTGCTATCGTGAATGCACGGGCAAAGCCAACATTGTGGAGAATGGGAGGGAGGGGCAGCAGCCTCTTGTGCCACAAGTGGGCAGCCCAAGCCCCATGGAAGCCTGCTCATATTCCTTTCCCCCTTCCACTTGTGGGCCACAGCTGTGGTTGGGCAGGGCCCTTTCCAGGACTTTTTGCCCCCAGTCTACCCAGATCACTGGCTGTGGCAATCAGGCTGTAGGATGCTCTACAGCTGGCTGCTCTCCTGGGTGTGTGGCAGCTGGGCATTCAGGGTGTTTGGCAGGGGCAATCCAGCACAGGGCTCCTGGTTTCCCCATGGCTAAGACGGCCCCTGTTAGTCAGGAGGGGATGAGGGCATTCTGCTCGTGCTTTATGAAGTCACCTGCTCCAAACAGGATTGTAGAACTTAAAAATGAGTCGTAAACCTTAGCTCCAGCCAAGTCTGCCATAAATTCCTGGAGTTTCCATATCTGTTTAAAGAATAGGACAAACACTTTCTCATTCACTTTTGTTGCATCAGGACAGCTGTCAATGAAATTGTAATTTTCCACCTTTCGTGATGAAAGAAATGTGGAAAATATGAAAACTATATCAAATTCAAATTTACATCAGAAATGCGGCACTATCAAAGCATTTTTCTATTACTCTTCCATGCTATGGTTTTCTATCAATGTGCTCTGTCTGATAAGAATGTCTGATTACAATCAGCCTCCATGCATCTGGGATTGGGGATTATGGGATTTCGTAGCAATAGCTATTATACCACTATATGTTTTCTTGCTGAGTTTACAAGCTAACTGAGAGTTCAAGCACTTTTAAACTGTTGGTGAACTCTATTTGCTCAAAGTTACTGGACAGTTAATTGAAACAGTTACACAAACATTGAATTAATTGCTTTTCAATAGAGGTTAAGAGCTGAGATTGGCCTTTTTAGCTTCCTATATCAGATATGACTCATTTATGCTTGCTGACTGGCTTAAGAACCAATAACTTATCTAAATAATAATCACATGATTATGATGGAAAAGGTTTAGAAAAAGATAAGATTGGTGTTTTTCTATAGATATCAGATTTCTCTGAACGGATGTCTCAGAAGAAGACTAGGTGAGATTTGGGGGAGTGTAACTTGGGCTTTTTGATAATCCCTAAAAGAAATGAGATGAAAAGCTGAAACTTGGTTTGCTTTTCTTTTAACTATTACTTGCTACAATATGATTAAGAAATGCTAGGAAATTTGACAATATAGCATTTATTTTCAGAGCAACTGTAAGTTAACTTTTACATGCCCATATTTTCTGTCTTGGTCTCATTTGCTGGTTATCGCTCAAAGAACCAAACTCACCCCTTATTTATTTATATTATCAGATTTAGAGGCCAAGAATAATCTTTTAATAGATAAATCCTGGAGAACTCTGCTGCTAAGTGGTTTGCATAGGCAAAGCCTTTTGTAATTGTTTAGTCCAGATTCTCTAATTGTATGAGGGAGTGGAATCTCTACTTATAATTTAGTTAATCATTACGTTTTCATCTTGTCCATCCTCCATGAAGCAAGAGGTGGCATACACAGTTGTTTCCCCACCCATTTTAATATCACAAGCAACCCTGTGAAGCTGGTTATACTCAGAGACAGAAACTGGCCTAAAATCATTGATTCCACTTAGCTTCAGGCAGATTTAATTAATTAATTAATTTGTACCCTGCCTTTCTCCCCAACGGGGAGCCAACACAGCTTACACCATTCTCCTCTCTTCCATTTTTATCCTCACAACAACTCTGAGAGGTAGGTTAAGCTGAGAGAGTATAACTGGCCCACGGTCACCCAGCAAGCTTCTATGGCATGAGTGGGGATTTGAGCACCAGTCTCCTAGATATACTAGTCTGAACTCTTGACCACTACACCACACTGGTGAATGGAGATCTGAATGCCCATTTCCTTGGTCTGATATGTTGGAAGTTCCAGATGTGATCTCCCCTGTCTCAGACCTCCAGACTGAGTGGCCAGAGAGGCTAGATAGCTAGATACGCACACTGACCTTCCTTCCTGTCTTTACTCTTCTGCCACTGTCCTCTTTGAAATGCAGATTGTGTTCTCAGGGACCATTTCCCCTTCCTCCTCCTCTCTCACTCTGTTGAAGACAAGCTCTCTTCCGGCATGCACCAAGAGAGAGACATGTGGTCCTCTCTTGGCACCATGAGGCAGATGGGCCTCTTGCCGCTTCCATCCTTTAGCTAGTAAGTTAGTATTCTATCATATCTCAGCTCTTTCCTAAGTGTACTTCTCAAATAAAGAGAGAAGTATTTTTCTTCTACACTTGCAGTGTGGCTCTGTGTAGCTTTGTAAGCTGAGTAACCTGGGAAAGTGACACTCTTGCATTTGTAGCTTTATTTAAGCACTCTGCTAACTAATGGTGACTGAGCTAACTACACCAGTTAACCTCAATATGATACGAGGGCTGCCAAATACCTGCAGGGGGGGGGGAATCCTCTCCCTTTAATATAGGCTACATGAGATGTTTTAACCAGATGATGCTTTTACCTCCATGCCATGAAAACCTTCAGCTGCCCATTTCCAACCATTAAGCCTCTTTTCTCCAAGCCTGTTGGCAGCCCTGTCTGATACTCCAATGCTACAGCACACTGATTCTGTAAAAAGTAAGCCTCCCAGGACAGGAAGTATGACTTTCACAGGCAAGTCTGAGCTCTGAACTCTTACAAGTTAAGCATGGGTGAGGTTTTACAAGCCATGTAGCATGTGGACCAGTTATAACTTTATAGCCTGCTGAATATGACAGAGCCAATAAACTGTCTATTTAATGGTTTCCCCAAAGTTAGCAGTGAAACAACCCACTGGAGCATGGGAAGTGGTTGTATTGGATCCTCATCTTTAACTCCTACCAAAACAGAAATCGTGAGAAAGATATACATTTATTACGTACTTCTAGATGCAGTGATCTCCTGCTGTAGGACACATATATACAGCTGAAGCGTCAGTTGAGGTGCAGAGCCTAGGAAAGCTTGAATCACTGATGCCCTGCTAAATGCAGACCTGTGAGTGAAGAGCTTGCCCTCTGCCTGGCCCACTTCTTTCTCAACTTCCTCCGAATGGCCATCTCTGGGCATCTGCCTCTTCTTGGTAATGCTGACATAAGGTTCTTCCACTCTCCCTGCATGGAAATAAATATAAAAAACTTCCACACACCTGGAGGAAAAGAAACAGAGACACAATTACACAAGGCAAACTCTTGTAAGTGTCCTGATTTTTTAAAATAACATCTCTGATCAAACAGAAGTGAGTCTTTCTAACTGCACGGATGGTATGATTCTGCACTAGGGACCCCCCATGTATGCAAAGCAAGGAGGCAGGCACACAATGCACTCCACCCTCTGTGTGTAAAAAGAGCACTATTAGGAATAAAGCCTTGACCTGGATAGCCCAGGATAGCCCGATCCCATCAGACCTCAGAAGCTAAGCAAGGTCAGTCCTGGTCAGTATTTGGAAGGGAGACCATCAAGGAACACCACGGTCATGATGTGAAGGCAGGCAATGGCAAACCACCTCTGAACATCTCTTGCCTTGAAAACCCCATGATGTCACCATAAGTCAGCTGTCCTCAAAGTGCTCAGTGAAATACATGCATTCATAACCAATGATCCCTCTAAGCTGTGGAGTCTTGTGAGCAAAAGTTCTACTTTGTGAGCTAGTGGCATTAAAGTGGTGAGCGAGCGACTTGGCTACTGCATAAATTAGTTTGCTCTGGAGCCCTCCTTCCTGAGCTAAGGCAAAAATCTGTGAGCTGGAGGCTAAAAAACTGTGGGCTAGCTCACACTAACTCAGCTTAGAGGGAACCCTGTTCATAACGGCAGTCTTGATATGATCTCCTGCAGTAAATCTAGAAATCTGTGTGTGTTTAGTCCAACGTGACTGCTTTCAAATACCTGTCTTGTCTCCAAAACTGGACCTAGGGCTGTGATATGTGGGCCACTAGCTTAATTATTCAACCAATTATCTGTTCCTATGTGAGAGGGAAAACCAGTATAGGGAATAGTGAATATAATACCTGTGCATCAGCACTACAAACAATATGGCCACTTTCACCTCTTTTTTATTCCATGCCATTGTTTTCTTATCACTTTTGGTCCACTTCATTTTAGTCAATTGTTCTTTTGTTTATTTTACACCATTTATGTACAACCAGCACGCAAATAGTGTTGAGAAATGCGAACATTTTTACAGGGGAATTTAACAGAATGGATCGCTGCCTTAACGTGGCAAGGGGGCTTGCATGGTTCGATGAGGCTGCAGGCTATACCATGGAGGGCCACCCAGGATGGACAGGCCACAGCCGAGAACGCAAACAAAATGCGATCCACTGGAGAAGGAAATGGCAACCCACTCCAGTATCTTTGCCAAGAAAACCCCATGGACAGTAACAAAAGGCTAAAAGATATGATGCCGGAAGATGAGCCCCTCAGGTTGGAAGTTGTCCAATATGCTACTGGGGAAGAGCAGAGGACAAGTATAAGTAACCCCAGAAAGAGTGAAGCCAAAAAAATGCTCAGCTGTGGATGTGTCTGACGGTGAAAGGAAAATCCAATGCTGCAAAGAACAATACAGCAATTCACAAAACCAAACAAGGACCCACGGTTAGTAGGAAAACCAATATACAACAAGTACCATGCACAGATGATTATAACATATCATAAATAATTTTATATTTTTTGAAAAATATTTTTACAATAATTTGTACATATATAATAAATCATCTTAATCAAAAATATCAAAAATCACCTCCAAGAATCTCAAAAGCTATTGTACAACCTTTAATAATAGATATCCTTCTGTTTCCTTCTGTCCAGATATCCTTCTGTTTCCGAATCTTCCTCAGGGAGTTCAACAATAATTTTCAGCACAAGGTTGCCACATACCAAAGTTTTAATCCAAATTTTTTTTGTTGATGAGCTACAAGCCTCCTCCAAAGTTCACTTTGGAAACAGAAGGATATCTGGACCTCTGTTGGAGGAAGACACAAGCACATGTTATAAAGAGACTTTAAGGAGTCCTCCCTTTTGAAACTTTTATTTAACAGAGGAGGACTATTACTAAAGGTTGTACAATAGCTTTTGAGATTCTTGGAGATGATTTTTAATATTTTTGATTAAGATTTTATTATATATGTACAAATTATTGTAAAACTATTTTTCAAAAAATATAAAATTATTTATGATAGGTTATAATCATCTGTGCACGGTACTTGTTGTATGTTGGCAAAGAACAATACTGCATAGGAACCTGGAATGTAAGGTCTATGAATCAAGGTAAGCTTGACGTGGTCAAAAATGAGATGGCAAGACTGAACATCGACATCTTGGGAATCAGTGAACTAAAGTGGATGGGAATGGGTGAATTTAACTCAGAGGACCATTATATCTACTACTGTGGCCAAGAATCCTGTAGAAAAAATGGTGTACCCTTTATAGTCAACAAGAGAGTGAGAAAGGCAGTAATGGGATACAATCTCAAAAATGACAGAATTATCTCGGTCTGAATCCAAGGCAAACCATTCAACATCACAGTAATCTAAGTCTATGCTCCTTTCAGAAGAGGCTCAGTTCTATGAAGACCTACAACACCTCCTAGAATTAATGCCAAAAAAAGATGCCCTTATCATCATAGGGGACTGGAATGCTAAAGTAGGAAGTCAAAAGGTAGCCAGAATAATGGACAAGTTTGGCCTTGGAGAACAAAATGAAGCCAGGCAAAGACTAACAGAGTTTTTTCAAGAGAACATGCTGGTCATAGCAAACACCCTCTTCCAA